GAGAGAGAGAGAGAGAGAGAGAGAGAGAGAGAGAGAGAGAGAGAGAGAACGTTTGTCGTAAATAGTATACCATCTTAAATGCAACCAGTGTGGCGGTGCTTGTGTGTGAGACGACGTCGCAAGGAAGCCGAAAAAAAATGACCAAATCAATTCAGACTCTCTGAAGCATCTCGTATTGTACTGTAATTGAATTGTAGCGCAGTGAATCGAGTGGAGTCGGCTGTGACTTAACGAGGTGCCGGGCGGTCTGGCCCGGGCGCACAAACATCATACGCTTCAGCCTTGTAAACGGACATTGTATCAGGCTTCAGCAATATCCACACATTGAACTTTTTTCCCCACAAAGTCAGATATTAAAAATTTTGTCAATAATAATTTTGCCGTTTAGCAAGCCAGACATTCCTAAACAAAGCGGACAAATTTAACCCTGGTTTAAAGCTTTTTGGCCGTTATTTGAGTTACAAGCAGCGCACCCAGTGGGGAGGAATAGAACCGGCCATCCCACCCCAACCTTTGTCGATATCAGCACCTTCTCGTTTAGCTTAAAAACCACTCAAAACGTGGGTTTTTTTTTTCTAAAAGTCTGAGCATGCAATTGGAGCATTTGTAAAATTTCACAATAGGATAAATAGGCCCCTAAGTGATTCTTAGAAAGCGAAAGTACAAATCTGGTGAAGTACCTCAAGGGCAGACTATATACTTCTATATACGCTATGCATTTCATTCATTTGAGCGGTATAGTCTATTAACTGACAATGGCAAAGGATTCTTTGTGTTTTGATGATGAAAACGGTTTCTGCATCAAAGACGGCGATGTCTCTGGAGGAATGGAACGAGTTAGGCAAAGAGTGACGGCGCAAGAAATGCGTCCTGGGCCAAACACGCAACTAACTAAAACTCTTGGACAGCGCCACTTTTAGAAGGGTGGCATCTGTGTGACAACACAGTGAAAGTTGCGAGGCACTAAAAATGGCTGACGGTTCTGAACTCAGAGCAAAGTGAAAGGCAAAGATGTCTCCGTGATTAAGAGGGTCGGTTTTCTTTTAGGTCTAATCAGTGAATGAAATCAAACAAACATGAACCTATTGAGGGCGAGATACGTTCACTTGAGTAGGGTGTATGAGGGTAGGGTTCAGCTATTTAACAGCGTGTGTTTCCAAGGTAATTCGAAATTCGGGAAACTCGAAAAAATCTGGACTGCTGGATGTCTGTTTGTCCTCTCCTCGATTGGAATAACGTGAATGATCCAGGCACGATTTTGCAACGTGTTGACTAGCCAGGGGAATGAGACGGTATCTTTGATGTCTCGACAATGTTGGTGGTCTGTTGTTGGTCAGATAGCAAGCCTATCGTAACATAAAGGATGTGAGATTGAATTGGGACCAGTTAACTGCAGCCTCGCACAATGAATGGCGGGATGTCTCCTGCATTTAAGAGGGGAGGTTATAAATGGATTAGCTATTGAGGAATAAAAGAACCGGATCATGCACAGCGGCTTAATTCTACGTAAATGCCTAATCTGACCCGACTGTCAAATCGTATCAAGGATGTTGTGGTTGACTTCAATATTATGCAGTTGCTTATTGAATTTGGAAGTTAAAAAATATGCTTAGACGAATCATCAGTGGACTTGTGAAGGCCTGTAATCTTAAATACTAGCTCTTGGCACATTACTTTTCAGGTTTAGTGAAACTAACGACAAATTTAAAATTCAAATTTCAAATAAAAAAAGTTAAATCATATAGGGGAGGTGGGCTTGGGTGTGCAGGCAAAATGGAAACTGCACAGATCGTTTTCCAAACAAAGATTTGAAAAATCCAATAATAGGACAAAAAATCTAAAGAGAGAAAGAAAGAAAGAAAGAAACGGCCCTGAAATTCCTCAATTACATGTGACAATTGGCGGCTCGAGGGAGGGCTGGGACCATAGTTTTCCCAAAGCAGCCCCCAACATGAGAAACGTTAATCAAGGAGATCTGTTCCAGTTTCGCAAGGTAAAAAAGGGGAAAGGGCCGAATTAGTTAAAACAATAAGTACTTCATAAGAATCCCAGTTTGACCATTCGGATTCGTCTTGAACTTTAAAGCTGCATTGTGCGGCCC